ATAAGTCCAATTAAATATTTTATATTTTTGGAAAGTAACGTTTGTTTCATTTAACTTTTAACACTATTCTTTACATCAGGTGGCATCTCCCCTTAAATTTTCCTTTCAAAACAACTGTCAAATCGAACTTGTCAGCTGGCAGTTTTTTGTACACAAATTTTCTTTTTTGCTCCAATCAGAAAAAAAGGCGTAAAACATTGTTAAAAAATATGTGATTTATAAAGAAAATATTAAAAATAAATTAAATAAATTGCTACGTTTACAAATTACTAATAATTTTCAACGTTAATAACACAACAGAACTTTTTTAATTGGTTGTAAAACGAAAATTAAAAAAAGTAAAGAAAAATTTTCCTACAAGAGAAAAAAAAAAAGAAAAGCAAAATACAGAAAAGCTAAACGAAAAAAAGAAGAAAAATTGCTGGCCAATTAAGATTAATTAAAACTAATTAAGAAGGAAAAATTAAAAAAAAAAACAATAGCAATAAATATAAACAATACAACACAAACATTAGTTTTGGAAACAAGTGGGTGATAAAAAAAGTAAATTTATAAAAAAAGTAAAATATATTTGTTTTCTTTAGAATGCCACCTTTAAAATCGTATTCTCCACAAAATGAATACAACGGCAATGGCAATAATTCACCTACCGACGCTTCCGGAGCTTCGGGCACAGATTCGTCTGCCTCCTCGTCCAGCTCGAATGGCGGCGGCAACACCACCACCTCATTGAATATAAATACGCAACGTTCCACCACCAAAACACCACCGTATTGTAATGGTCAGTACCCTTTTAAGGTCCTGACGAATCTCAATCAATTGCGTTCACAGAGACGTTTTTGTGATGTTGACATAGTGGCAGGCGGCGCTACTTATGCTGCACATCGTGTTATTCTAAGTGCGGCCAGCGCCTATTTTGAGGCCATGTTTCGACCGGAGCTGGGGTTGAATGAAGTCAATCAAAAGACTGTTGTGCTGCATACAATTGATGGAGAAATTTTGAATATTTTATTGGATTTTATCTATACGGGAAGATGTGAAATAACGCAAGTAAGTTGTTATTGCATTGTGCGGGAGTTGTTAGAAAATATTTGGACATTTTACACCACTTCTAAAGTTTTTTTAATGGAAATTCAAATAGTTTTTATTTCCATTTCTTTGAAAGAGTGTTAAAATGTATGGGATACAAAATGGAATCGAGTGAAACACTAAATTTTTGTATGGAATAGGGGAATTATTTATATATAAAGCTTAAAAAAGTGTGAAACATTTAATTTTTAAATAAAATTATACAAAAAACATCAATTTTTATTATAATGCTTTAATTTATGTAAAATTATCCAAAATTGACTTTAAATGTAGAAGGAACGTAATGGAATATAGTGAAACACTAAAGTTTTCTACAAAATAACAATAGTTTTAAGGGAATTTTCTATATAAAGCTTAAAAAAAGTGTTAAATATGTAAATAGTGTATTGAAATTGCATACGGAATGAAATGGGATCTAGTGAAACATTTAATTTTTATCATAAAATTATACAAAGACATATTTTAAGATATTCCTTTACAATGCTTTAAAAAAATAACCAAAATTGATTTTAAATATAAAGGAACAAAATGGAATCTAGTAAAACGCTTAATTTTTAAAGCTTTAAATAATTTACAATTTTCCAAAAGTATCTTTATATTCAAGAGGAACGAAATAGAATCAATTGAAACAACATAGTTTTAGCATTCCAATAAAGAAAAGCAAATGGAAATTCATATTTTAAGAACGAAAGATTAAAACATTATGAAGAAATTTCATCAAATGCTGGAGGAATGAAATGAAATTCTATGAAACATTAAATTCAAATTTTCACCAAGAAGTCAAATTTTCACCAAAAAGACAAATTTTCACTTAAAATTCGAATTTTCGCTAAGAATTCAAATTTTCATTAATAATTCAGAATTTCACTTAAAACTAAAATTTTCGCAAAAAATTTAAATTTTCACTAAAAATTATAATTTTCACCAAAAAGTCATATTTTGGAAATAGTGTATTTCTTGTAATTAATCCATTTTTATTTTATAAATTTTTCTTTTTTTCCTTTTTCACCCAAAAGTCCAATGTCCAAGAACTATTAGCTGCCGCAGATATGTTGCAATTGCATGAAGTAGTTGATGGTTGTTGTGAGTTTTTGTGTCGTGAGCTACATGCTAGCAATGCTTTGGGTATTTTACGCTTTGCTGAAGCTCACAATTGCGAAGCCTTAGCTAAGAGTGCATTAAACTTTGTGCATGCCAATTTTCCGGCGGTAAGTGCTTTTACAACTTAACTTCATTTAATTTATAAATTTCTTATGTTTTTTTATGTCTTTGACAGATTACTCAGGAAGATGAATTTCTCGAAACCCCACAGACGTTATTGTCACAACTTTTAACCTCAGAGCTGCTACGTGTCGATTCAGAATCTCAAGTATTTCAGGCAGCTTTACGTTGGATTAAACACGATGTCACCCAGAGAAGATGTTTTGTTTTCGATATTTTATCTTTGGTGCGTTTGGCTTTAGTGCCGGTTAAGGTTATTGATCAGGCTTTAAGGGATTGCCGTGATATGTCGGTTAAGATAGCTTTGAGATCGATTTGCCGCGATATCGCCTCGAAAAGGGGTCAATTGGTGCCTTTGCGTGTGTGTCCCCGCCAGTTGGCCAAGAAGAATATTTATATCATTGGAGGTTCGCGGCGTGAGACCACCTCAACTTGGAATCCTGCCGATGATATATTTGATACGGTGGCCAAGTTTGATATATTCCGCCGCGAATGGACGGAAACGGCTCCCATGGAAATAGGACGTATATTACCGGGTGTGGCAGCTTTAAATGGCAAGATTTATGTTATTGGCGGAGAGCGTGGAGCCCAGATATTGGCTAATGGTGAGGTGTATGATCCTCAGAATGATTGTTGGTCTCCTATAGCCCCAATGATAGTGCCACGTTGTGAATTTGGTTTGTGTGCCATGGATAATAGTCTATTGGCAGTGGGTGGTTGGATAGGTGATGATATTGGTGGTTCCATGGAACGCTACGATCCCGATAAAGATGTTTGGCAAATAATAGGCAATCTGCCAGAGCCTCGTTTTAGCATGGGTGTGGTTAGTTTTGAAGGTCTCATATATATAGTTGGTGGTTGCACTATATCCAGTCGTCATTTACCGGATTTAGTAAGGTGTGTTAATAAAAACTAAAAAATGTTTATAAATTTTGAATAATTTAAATGTTTCTCTATTTTTTAGTTACAATCCGGTAACTCAGGAGTGGCAACCTTTGGCTCGCATGCAAGTGGCCCGCTGCCAAATGGGTGTGGCCATTTTAGATCGTTACTTGTATGTGGTGGGCGGTAATAGCAGTTCAGCAGCGGTTTTAAGTTCTGTAGAACGCTACAGTTTTGATGATAATACTTGGTCTACGGTATGCGCTATGTCAGTACCCCGCGCAATACCCGCCGTAGCTGCGGCAGATGGTTTACTGTATGTTGCAGGAGGAGATCAGGTAAAAAATAAGTTAGATAGATAGATAGATAGATAGATAGATAGATAGATAGATAGATAGATAGATAGATAGATAGCTAGATAGATAGATAGATAGATAGATAGATAGATAGATAGATAGATAGATAGATAGATAGATAGATAGATAGATAGATAGATAGATAGATAGATAGATAGATAGATAGATAGATAGATAGATAGATAGATAGATAGATAGATAGATAGATAGATAGATAGATAGATAGATAGATAGATAGATAGATAGATAGATAGATAGATAGATAGATAGATAGATAGATAGATAGATAGATAGATAGATAGATAGATAGATAGATAGATAGATAGATAGATAGATAGATAGATAGATAGATAGATAGATAGATAGATAGATAGATAGATAGATAGATAGATAGATAGATAGATAGATAGATAGATAGATAGATAGATAGATAGATAGATAGATAGATAGATAGATAGATAGATAGATAGATAGATAGATAGATAGATAGATAGATAGATAGATAGATATAGATAGATAGATAGATAGATAGATAGATAGATAGATAGATAGATAGATAGATAGATAGATAGATAGATAGATAGATAGATAGATAGATAGATAGATAGATAGATAGATAGATAGATAGATAGATAGATAATAGATACAAATATTAATAATTCTCCTCTTCCAGCCCTGCGAGGCCACTTTCTATCGCGCCCAAGTCACTATAAGCGCCGTGGAATGTTATGATCCACTGACAGACACTTGGAAGAATTGCCCTGACTTGCCCGTTAGCCGTTCAGAGGCTGGAGCTGTTGTTGTTTAACCCTTAATATAAAAACTCTAAGGCGGTATTATCTCTAAAGGTCTCCAAGCTGCCCCAAGGTTCAATCAAACTTTTACACGTAACTAACACATTCTGAAGGAAATTAACAGTATATATTTATCCTTAATTTTTTATTAAATGTATTATGTTTACTTTATATTTATTAATTTTAAGTTCTTTTTTATACACAAAAATATCTATAATTTCAAGCCAAAAATTAAAAAAAAAACAATTGCTAAAGCCTAACAAAACAAATCCTTTAAAAGGTTCTAAATTCCAAAAAAAAAAACCAGCTAAATGTAAAATAAAAAAAAAACAAATCATACGTATTAAATGGATGTAATATTGAATATAAAACTACAAAAAATATATTATAATAAAGCATGAAAAAAGTGGTATAAATTTGAAAGTATGTATTATTTAAAAGGACACGGAAACTAAGAAAATGGTGTGAAGCTGCATAGAAAATCTCTTATTTACCGTTAAAACCTTATCAATAATCTGGCAGCTCTTATGTGAGACATTTCACCGCTTTTTACAATTGTAATCAAACTGTAATGAGCCATAACTACCGGTATTTATTTAACATAAACTGGCAACACTATTTCTTATTATTATAGCAAAAAAACAACAAAAGCAAAAAACAAACAGCTGTTTTTGACAATTTCACAACAAAAACAAAACTGTAAACATTGGATACTCCTAGAACCCACAAAAACTGAGATTTCTCAAATAAAACTAACCGGTTCCAAACTAAAAAAACAATGAATACTTTAAGACCTTGCGGCTGCAAAGGTGTAAGAACCTGTCTAAAATGTGAATCCGAGTTTAATATCGAAAAACCTAATCTCCAACAAGAATTGCAAAAATTAGAGGCCTGGTCTTGGTGCATCAAGTGTGGATGTTTATATCCCGGTTGGAATTGTCAAAAGGTACAAACAGAACACCCTCAGCATAATCAGGCCGAAGGTTTAGCATTACCAGGAATATATGTTAAAGCTGATTTTCTCACTCTCACCGAAGGAGAAGAAATTATGCAAAGATTAGATGAGCTGCCATGGTGTATATCTCAAAGTGGAAGACGTAAACAAAATTATGGACCAAAAACAAACTTTAAGAAAAGAAAATTACAAAATGGTTTATTTAAAGGATTTCCCCAAACCACCCGCTTCATACAGGATAAATTTAAACATGAAGAATTGCTAAAGGATTTCCAGACTATAGAACAATGTTCTTTGGAATACGATCCAACAAAAGGAGCTTCGATAGATCCTCACATAGATGATTGCTGGATATGGGGAGAACGTGTAGTGACGGTTAATTGTTTGGGCGATTCTGTTTTATCTTTAACTTTATATAAAGATGCGTTAGAGAAACCTTTGGCGGAGATTAGTAAATATAATTTGGATTTGGTAACTAAGTATGAGAACGAGTTATTAAAGCCTTTATTGTTAGCAGAAGAATTGCAATTATTTAAAGACAAAGTCATAAGGATAATTATGCCAAAGTGAGTTTATAATATAATGGAATATGTTTAAAAGTAAAAAGACGACTCAACTAAGCTTCTACTTAGATTATAGACTAAATTATGATCCGGACTAAAGACCAAACCATAGTCCAGACCATATTTAGACTTTAAAACTAGATCTTACTGCAGCATAAAGAGTCTAGACTTTAGCTCAGCTGTTTAACTCAAAAAGTTGTTTATGTTTTCTTATTTTATTTCTCAGTTTGTCCCTAATCGTTTTATATGGCCCGGCGCGCTATCAATTTGAACATTCTGTTTTACGTGAAGATGTTTTAGAGAGACGTGTATGTTTGGCATACCGGGAATTTACACCCATGTATCTGGAAGGAGGCGATTCATATGAAAAAGGTCGAATTGTAACAGAAAATTCATTAAAGTTTTGGCAGCCAGAGAGTGAATAAAACCCGAAAAGTAAAAGACTCCAAAATGTGACAAATTAATGGTTACAAGAGCTGAATCCAAAAAAATAAACACAGATACCAGTAAAATGAAATAAAAAGAAAAAGCACAAAACGTCATAGTTTCTTAAAAATTTTAAGTTTTACAAGTAATTGATTTATTAGAAATAACTTAAAAAATAGAGTAATCAACAGAGGTTTAAGTCCAATAAATTAATTTTATTATAAAGTAAATATTCACTTTAAAATTTTATGAAAATGTAATTTCTAACTCATTTCTATAATATTATTTTCACTAACTAATTCTATACAATCATCGTTCTGCCAAATATATTGTGTATCAAAATCCATTTCATTTGAAACCAATTCGTCCTCATTTTCCTGCACATTTCCTTCCAAATTTGTAGATTTGATAAAATCAAGTAACGTCACTTTGGCGGGTAGCTTTATGCGATGTACTCTTTTAATATGATGTCTCAAATTTGTATGAGAACTTAGCAACTTGTGGCAAATGGCGCATTTATGTTCGGTATGTATCTCACGTATATGTTTGAAGAGTTCCTCTGTTATGCTAAATGTTTGGGTACAAAATTTACAAACATGAGATTTTTGTATGTGTGTTTTAAGATAGTCGGATTTGGCAAAAGCTTGAGGACAATATTGACATATATAGACAGCAGGTTCGGTAAAATCTGTTTGCGGCTGCTGAGAAGTTTCAAGATTTTCTAAATTCTTTACATCTCTAACTTCAACAGCTTTTAAATTAACTGTTAATAGATTTTGAGAGGCAGGACACTCTTCCTCATCTTCTTTGGTTGATGATAGCTTCCTTTCATTTGCCTCTAGTGTTTCGGGTATAAATTGTGTTACAATAAAGGAATCATTTTTATTTAAAGCAATATGTTGCGAACGTTTGGTTTTGTGGAAAGTTATTAGTTGATTTTCTTCAGTGTTGGGAGTTATTTCTTGGAGAAGTATGTGTTTATCCTGAGCTAACATTTCTGTAGGTTTTACTTCTGTAGTGGCTTCAAATTCCGGCAAATCTTTTTCTTCCACCACTTCTAAAAGATGTTCTTCTTCAATACATTGATTTAACGATTCCTGATAAAGATTTTTTAATTGTATATTGGCTAATTTAAGTTTTTCATAGAAAATATAACAATATTTTAAATCCTCCAGACATTGCCAGCAGAGCAAAGGAAATTCATCGGTTAAATTTAATAAATCCTAAAAAATAATAATAAACTTACTATACAAATTTTATTTTAAATTTAAAACTTACTTGACTATTGTAAAATATGTCCATTAGTTCCAAAAAGGTTTTTTCCACGGAATCCTCCATATTCAAGGAATTTTCTTCCTCTGTTAAAGAAACTTTACAATTCCATATATTTACATGGCCATTTTGTAAACAAATACGGCATTGTTGTTGTAAAGTTGATAAATTTATATTAAAATCCATTTTTCTGTTATAATTTCTTAATTGTTTGCACTTATAAAGAAATAGATTAATATTTTTCTTTTTTGCTTGGGATATAAACAATTAATAATGTAAACAAAAGCTATTAATGCACAGTGAGTTATAAGCTGTCAAAGAAAATTAGACAGAGTTGTTTTGAGAAAAAAAAATATGGTAACACTTTCTAAACATATCACAAATATACCGTTATTCTACATTCCTTAGCATTTCAACGTTAATTTTTCTGTTTTTCAAGAAAATCTTTAAAATATGAGTTATTTACATGCAATTTTCGAATTTATAAAAAATTTCTGCGATGAGGATGATGAGTTTAAGAAAATGTGCCAGGAAATTGAGCAACTAAATCGAGAAAATCTTAAACATGAAAGGGATATAGAGGGTAAGTTAAAATTTTTTGAGGTTGGATATAAAGAAGTGCAAAATTTTTATAATTGGCAAATACAAATAGAATGTGACCGAGAATATGTACGATTACAAATCGAACAGCATAATCTGCAAACCGTTACTTCCAACCAACAAGCTGTAGAAACTTGCGATCAAATCTCCATGGGCATTTTTCAACAAACTCTTGAATTGAATAGTCTTCTAAAGCAAATAGACTTTGGCAAAATTGTGAAATGTCATCATATGGAAATGGAGGGGAAATTTCTTAAAGAATCTCAGCCCATACAGGATGCTATGTCACACACCCAAGAATGGTATGAGAAAATGGAACAAAGACATATTGTAAGAAAATATCGTCAAGCTGAAATTGCTAATCGTGAGGCTGAGCAGGAGGCGCGAAAAGAACTAGACGCTATGCGGTTATCTGATAAAGAAAGTATGGAGAAGTTATTGCAGGCTAAAGATAAGAGAAATGTATTAATTGTTTCATTAATACAAGAAGCCAAAGAAATAGAAGCCTTAAACAAAAAGGTGAGTGTGGTTGAAGGGTTTATGGCGATTTTTTATTATTATTTTTTTTGTTTTCTGTTCCAAGTTGGATAAATTGAACAAATATAAAACGTATATAGAAGGCTTGAGGCAAGAAAAGTTATTGTTGCTTAAGCAGCTGGATGATAAGCAACTAAAGGTAAGTAAAGATTCTCCCAGAACATGAATTATCACATATTTTGATGCTAAACTTTTCAACATTTCAATTATAGTCCTTTAACCCCAATATAACTTCCAGTTCCAACTCTTTTCTCCCAAAAATTTGCCCGGAATCTACAAAAAATATTGATGTGCCGAAATTGGTCATACCCAACTTGCCTTCACTGGAAGAAATTTTAATGATTTTTAATCAACCCAAAGAAAATAAAACGACTTTGAAAAAAACTATATTACACAACACCACTTACGATCAAACAACTACTAACAAACAAAATAAAAATGTAAGTTTTAAAATGCCGCTAGAAGAATTCCATGAGTATCCTCAACAAGAAATGGAAACTGAGCTAGAAACAGAAACCGAACCAGAGACTGAAACCGAATCGGAATATGAAGAATTGAAACAACAAGTCGTAGAGCAAAAAACTACAGAAAAAGAAGAAAATTTACAAGAAATGAACGAAATTGAAACAATTGATTTATTAACACCGACAGAAAAGGAAACTATTCAGATAAGCGAGCCGTTGAAGTGTGCGGTGAAAACTGTGGCTGATAAACAACAGCCCTTAATAGAAATACAAGAATGTATTGTATTTAAAGCACCATTTCCTATGCAGGAAATTACCGCAATAGAAGATAAGGTCAATGTTTCAGAGATAACGAGCAGCAGCTCTAAACAATCAACAAACATGTCGTCACACTCGCGCTCATCAAATGACAAGGTAAATGTCTTAGATGATACGCCCAGCAGCTCTAAACTGTCGGGAAACTCCTCAACTTCACTCTCATCACATACTAACATTAAAGACATATTAAATACAACGAAAATAGTATTAAATGATGAATTAACTTCTTCATCTGTCGAAGTTTCGCCAAAGAAATCATCAGTAAAGTTAGGTAAGAAGTCATATTTAAAAGATGATTTCGAAGCCTTTTTCAAGGATAACGAAGACGAATTTTGGACTTCAAATGTAACACCAAAAGCTAAAGCAAGCAATGAGACAGCAGACTTTTTAGATTTTGGCCCTAGCAAAGGATTTACATTCGATTCGGATGATAATACAGCGGATAATGTGGAAATTATGGATTTTATGTAAAGGTGGAAGGCCGCCCCTTTTTTTTGTCGAATTTGTAAAGTAGTTTAAGATAAGTGTTAATCAATTAATGAAATAAAAGTTTAAGTACTAAGTTATTAACTATCTCACAATTAACTAACTAATTAACAAACAAATTAACCAACTAACCAACCAAATAACTAAATAAGTGATTAACTAGCGAGCGAGCGAGCGAGCGAGCGAGCGAGAGAGAGCGAGCGAGCGAGCGAGCGAGAGCGAGCGAGCGAGCGAGCGAGCGAGAGCGAGCGAGCAGGGCGAGCGGGCGAGCGAGCGACGAGCAGCGAGCGAGCGAGCTAGCGAGCGAGCGAGCGAGCGAGCGAGCAGCGAGGAGCGAGCGAGCGAGCGAGCGAGCGAGCGATCTATCTATCTATCATCTATATCTATCTATCCATCTATCTATCTATCTATCTATCATCTATCTATCTATCTATCTATCTATCTATCTATCTATCTATATCTATCATCTATCTATCTATCTCTAGGTTAGGTTAGGTTTTCACAGGTAGCCAATTTCGGCTTCACTTGGGTCCATGTTGACCCCTTTGTAAAAATACCTGTAAGAAAAAAATCTATCTATCTATCTATCTATCTATCTATCTATCTATCTATCTATCTATCTATCTATATATCTATCTATCTATCTATCTATCTATCTATCTATCAACCTATCTTTCTATCTATCTATCTATCTATCTATCTATCTATCTATCTATCTATCTATCTATCTATCTATCTATCTATCTACCTATATATCTACCTATATATCTATCTATCTATCTATCTATCTATCTATCTATCATCTATCTATCTATCTATCTTCTATCTATCTATCTGTCTATCTATCTATCTATCTATCTCTATCTATCTATCTATCTATCTATCTATCTATCTATCTATCTATCTATCTATCTATCTATCTACCTATATATCTATCTATCCATCTATCTATCTATCTATCTAGGTTAGGTTTTCACAGGTAGCCAATTTCGGCTTCACTTGGGTCCATGTTGACCCCTTTGTAAAAATACCTGTAAGAAAAAAATCTATCTATCTATCTATCAATCTATCTTTCTATCTATCTATCTATCTATCTATATATCTATCTATCTATCTATCTATCTATCTAGCTATCTATCTATCTATCTCTATCTATCTATCATCTATCTATCTATCTATCTATCTATCTATCTATCTATCTATCTATCTATCTATCTATCTATCTATCTATCTATCTATCTATCTATCTATCTATCTATCAATCTATCTATCTATCTATCTATCTATCTAAATCTCCTCGGGTTCACTTAGAACGGTTTGAAAAATGAACCGCCTCTTGTTCGTTTATAACAGGATGAAAATTGGACCCACTTGGTATTCTTTCATAACAAAATATAACATGAACAAAGTGTGAAAAATGAAATGTCTCATGTTCACTTAAAACTCAGTGAAAAATTAATACAAAGTGAAATGTGAAGTGAATAGCGAAAGCTATTAGGATTATTTAAGAACATAGTGAAAAATTTGCCGATTAATAAAAAATAGTGAGAAAAATAGATCGCCCGTAAAATTAAGCGGTTGTGGTTTTTTATAAAAATTGAAACATTGTAATAAATAATATTTAATTATTTGTTTTATATTTAAAATCTCTTAATTATTCGTTGATTTAATATTGAGAAACAAAGTAACATTTTCTTTGTTTCAATACTCATCGAACTTAAAATATACAATAAATAATTTAAATTCTATTTTTAGTAGAATTTATTACTAAATTAAATAATACTTCATAGAAGAAAGAAGTCAAAAACAGGAATTAACAGAATATTATGCAGTTGAACTGTTAATAAATTCTTGGTGTTTTGACACATTTAAAGGTTACTTAAGGAAAGTAAATATTATATTAAATATAACATCAGTTGTTGTAGTTAATGTAGTCGTTAAGGCAATGCAATTGGTATGTCGGTAAGTATATATGTATATATAAATAAATAAAAGCAATTGTCGTAAGTAAGTTTAAAGAAAATTAACTAATAATCAGCTAAATCGAAATCCTCATTATCCAATTCGTCAAGTTGCATACTCTGGAAATCCACCTTGTAACGTAAAATACCTAAAGGAAGAGAATAAGAATTTTTTAAATGAAAAGAAATAAAAAGAAAAAAAAAACTTAAAAGAAATTAGTAATATTTACATTAAATCAAAATCCTGTTTTAAAACAAATAATTAATTAAGCAATTTTTAGTATTTCAATTCAATTCAATTTTTTATTACGTTATTCATTTTTTTTGTTTGTATTACTCATACTACGTGGTTAGCAGCGTGTACGTTTTAAAAGTTAAATATTTAAAAATTTAAAACTAAAAATTACACAAATACATACTTTTTTAAGTTAAGAAGAAATGTTAAGAAATTATTATAAAACGACAATCACTAGCATATATTACTAGGAATTTGTTAAAAATTGTTTATAAACTACTAGCCACCATATATTTACGTTTTTTTATAGGGTTTAAATATATATATAGTAATGACAATTGTTAAAGTACTTTTTTTTCTTCATTTCTTTTTCAATTATTATTCTTTTTATAAATTTTTAATGTGAGATGAACAAGCTGCTTCTTTGTTTGGTTTTCAGTTACATTTCTTGAAATATGAAAAATGCTGGAAAAAATATATATAATTGTATGATAATAACAAATTTAATAATCATCAAGATCAACATCCTCCAAAGGCTCATCAGCTTGTAGGGACTGAAAATCAACTTTATAGCGTAAAATACCTTTTGTTGTTATAAAAGGAAACCCAAAAACACACACATTTTTAGAAAAAAGCCATAATTAAGTTTTAATAACAAAAAGAAATAAGCATTAAAGTAAAATATAAGGGGAGAGAGTAGAAAAAAAGAAAGGAAATTTAAAGCATAATTTAGTTTTATTTATTTAATTAAATATTACTTTAAAACTAGCCTACTGTGGTTAAAGGAAGATATACTAAATAATTTAAGCTAAACTTACCACCAATGCCACCAAAGCCTCTTACAAATTGACTGCCCTCTTGAGATTTGTCAGTGATTATTTCGAGAGTGGCACCAAACATTTTATAATTGTTCGCCAGCCATTCTAGCAGAGGCTGAGATTCAATTAATTCCATTTCTACACCAGTCTAAAAAGAAAACAAAATCGAATAATTTCAAAATTTAAAAAAAATTAAAATTAAAAAAAATATTTCAAAATAATTTTTTTTTTTAATTTATGAAAAATTTTTAAATTTATGAATATTTAAAATTTTAATAAAAAATTTAAATTTATAAAAAAAAAAAAAATTTTACCTCTTTATCAGTAAAATGCGATTTATCCTTTTCCTGTTCCGGCGTTAAATGCAATACCGTGGTTGATGTTGAATTGGCATGATTTTTCAAAACATAACGTTGTATATCCAAATTCTCCCAACATATTAAAGTCTCCACCGAGCCCAGTTCTAAGGCGCGTAAAGTATCCTCAACGCCAAAACAATATTTGCCAGTGTCCTGGAAAAAGAATTTCTCAATTACAATACATATTTACGAAAAGTATTTTATGCATAACAAACCTGAGAAATCTCATCAAAATAGCGACCTATAAGTTTCTTTTCCTGAATAAATTTAACATTTTGTAAGGACTCAGCAGCCAATTCGATAGCCTGATTGAAACCATTCTCACCGCCATAAGAAACATCAACCAGTTTAATGACTTTGGATTGTAGGCGCTAAAATGAAGGGAATAATAACTATTAAGATTGGGGGTAGGAAAACAAATACAACCTACCGGATCAAACATATCAGATTGACTGAGTTCCGTTTTAAAATCTGCACTACCCGCCAGTATAAGACCCGCTATGTTGGGCTTATCATTTGTTATAAACAATTGAGTGGCCACCTCGGCCACCTTACGCACATAGTTGTGACGTTTCTCCATACGTAGACGAGCGAAACGCAGGGCTGACTGACCACCACGACCATGTTTCTTCGGCAGATCAACGGTAAATTTGTGCAAAACTTCACGGGTGTTGCCTTGTAGGGTGCCAAATAGGGCACCATTACCGTCCATAACAATAAAACCGAATTTATTGTCATCGGCCAAAAGGGCGGTCAGCGCTTCAGTGTGAAATTTATTGTCACACAAATACAACGAGGTATTTATGGGTTTAAAGGGCTCAAAATCGATATTAACCTTTTTCTCTTTACCCTCTTCGGTGACAATAGTACCGCAGTAGATGACCAAACCATTGGGAGGCACTATTTATTAGAAGTTGTAGAGAAAATTAAAAATTAACTTTTTTTGGGAATACAGGCAGCAAATAAATACCTTTGGTATACAGTTTAAGTCTATGTTGGACCGAGGTGATGGCACCCAAGACAGAGAGACGATTAACACGCGATTTAATGTTGGAGGCGGTGCCAAACTCATCGGCCAACATTTTACTAACTCTGGATATTTGATCCTTGGGTGGAATAATTAAAGAAATCATGCTAGTGCCATTGCTAAGGAAAACAAAAACCCAACAAGCAGTTTTTTATTAATTAACAACATATGGCGAATTCTAACCTTCTTTCTGTTTGTTTGACTTATTGCACAATTCGATTTGACCACTTACCCACGAGCCATTTCCAGACTTTTGATTAATTTCTTTATTTTCCATATTTCCACATTGCGATCTGCTGACGTTTCTTCTCCAGACATGTTTTAAGACACCTTTTTTGTCACACTACCCACGTCCAATAAATTAGATTAAAACTTGAAAAACTTTCTCTACCACCTTCTGGCACAAACAATAATGGCCCCCTGTGTCTGCCTGGTGGTGTTTTTCCCCAAGTCTTTGTTAAAAATTTATAATTCTTTCCTTTTTTTCTACTTGCACTCCAATGTTGGGTATTTGTGTTTTAAATTTTTATACTTATTCGTTGTCTGACGTCCTTCTACTAAGAAAAAAGATGTGAAAAAAAGAAT